CTATAAACCTGAGCCAGCCCTAACTATAAACCTGAGCCAGCCCTAGCTATAAACCTGAGCCAGCCCTAACTATAAACCTGAGCCAGCCCTAACTATAAACCTGATCCAGCCCTAGCTATAAGCCTGAACCAGCCCTAACTATAAACCTGAACCAGCCCTAACTATAAACCTGAACCAGCCCTAACTATAAGCCTGAACCAGTCCTAACTATAAACCTGAACCAGCCCTAACTATAAGCCTGAACCAGCCCTAACTATAAGCCTGAACCAGTCCTAACTATAAACCTGAACCAGCCCTAACTATAAACCTGAACCAGCCCTAACTATAAACCTGAGCCAGCTCTAACTATAAACCTGAGCCAGCCCTAACTATAAACCTGAACCAGCCCTAACTATAAGCCTGAACCAGTCCTAACTATAAACCTGAACCAGCCCTAACTATAAACCTGAACCAGCCCTAACTATAAGCCTGAACCAGCCCTAACTATAAACCTGAACCAGCCCTAACTATAAGCCTGAACCAGCCCTAACTATAAACCTGAACCAGCCCTAACTATAAGCCTGAACCAGTCCTAACTATAAGCCTGAACCAGCCCCAACTATAAGCCTGAACCAGACCTAACTATAAACCTGAACCAGCCCTAACTATAAACCTGAACCAGCCCTAACTATAAAACTGAACCAGCCCTAACTATAAGCCTGAACCAGCCCTAACTATAAGCCTGAACCAGCCCTAACTATGAACCTGATGATGTCGATGTGTGCAGATCCTGACCGGGGAGGACTGGAACATGGTTATGTACGACGGCATCATGGCTTACGGCGGCCCCGTGTTTCCGGGTATGATCGTGTGCGTTTACTTTGTCATCCTCTTCATCTGTGGTAACTGTATCCTGTCAGCGAGGCGTTCACTGACCTCACGGACACAGCAGGAATGCTGTTGGTTTTTCATGTTGTACAGCTTTATATCTTTTGTAATAATAATGTCTCAGTTTGTTACGTCTTCTTAACGAGAGTCAGACATCCTGCTGAACGTCTTCTTGGCCATCGCCGTAGACAACCTGGCCGGAGGAGATGGAGACGACAAGAAGGAGTGAGTGATGGAGGGATGGAGGAAAGAGGACAAAATACAGACGATAGAGTGGTTTATTATTTTCCTGTTGTCTCTCCAGTAAGAAGACAGAAGGAGCGGTGGAGGAGGAGGAGGTTGCAGGAGAAGGAGAAGAACAAGCAGAGGAAGAGGAAGTAAAGGTGAAGAATGGAGGTCTGACTTCACTCTTTGATCTCTGATGTGAATCCGTCAGTCTGACGGCTGTTTGTCTCTTCAGGTGGACATCGATGAAGACACCGAGTACGAGGAGGAGGAGGAGCCTCCTGAAGGAGAAAACGGTCAGTCGACACCTGAAGAAGACTTTTTGTGATTTTATTGAAATAATGTTTTTGTTATTATTATCATTATTTACCTCTCCTCTCTCCTCTCCTCTCTCCTCTCCTCTCCTCTCTCCTCTCCTCTCCTCTCTCCTCTCACCTCTCTCCTCTCACCTCTCTCCTCTCCTCTCACCTCTCCTCTCCTCTCTCTTCTCACTTCTCACCTCTCCTCTCTCTCCTCA